GTTTCTCATGCGCCAATTTCGCATTACTGGGCTTGTTGCAGTTCAAATTCTCCGCGCAATTGCTAAGGCTTCTGAGAGTCCTGACGAGCTAGAACAAACCTCCGAGAATCGGTGCAGTGTTTATCACAACTTGGCACAGCACACTTCCGTTCAACTAGTGCAGAGAATATTAGGTATTCTGACCGATTCAATCTCTAATGAATCCCGATCTTCAGCTGGTAGTGAAATTCCATCAGAGTCGGCTCTCGGCAAAATGAAAAACAAGGAATTGCAACAAATGTGTCGTGATCAAGGACTCACAGTGTCAGGAAACAAACGTGAGCTCATCAGCCGTCTTTTAAACGGGGAAAGCGACACAAATTCGACAAAGAACACGATTAAATCTCCCGCTGCGGCACTACTTAGCGCTTGGTTCTTAGCTCCAATATCGTCTACGGACATGAAAGTTGGATCTAAGAACGAGGAAAACATTTGCTCACGCGTACCAAGATTTCTTGAAGCACACTCAGACTTTCGTATTCTTCAGACGAAGTCTTATGGTCTGCTTTGTTGGTACGTTTGAACGACTGCCACAGCTACGTACCATTATTGATTTGTGAAAATGACGCATGATACAGCCCCGAGGAGCGCTATTTGGCATTTTCTCCGGATGATATCGCATTGGTAACTCGGCCCTCTAGTAATGATTCATTTTTTGCTGTTCTGGAGTATAAAACGAAGACTAGAGACAATACGGTCGACACAGAGCGAAATATTGCAGTGCGATGCGGTAAATTCGCAACTGTAAAGCTGGATTCCCATTCTGATAGTCGGTACTTGAAGACGTTGATTCCCGACCAAGGGCACCGATCTCAGCTGCTACACAACATCATTTCTGGGTCTATGAGAGATGGATTCATTGTGTATGCGTCGTCAACAGCAATAATTCGTGTCGTTCACGTCGTAATTGGTGACGATATTGTGGATTCTTATCAACTTGCTTTCTTGAAGATCAAAGAAGCATGCATGGACTGGATCTACACACCCGGTGCTCCCGTACCACCATTTACAGCAGACGAATTAGGACATTGTGGAGACGTATCAACGCTGAAGCAGCATCTCTCGTTATGGCGAATAGTAGTGGCTAAAACCGAAGAACGTGGAGGCCCACTACCTGCAGCAAAACACATAATCCCCAGCGTGATAGCGATCTGGAATCGAGTCAAAGGAGGAATCGACGTTTATTCTCGGTACCTGAAGAATATAAAGCCATCGCACGAGCATTTACCACCCCTCGCTGCTCTTTGGCTGCGGTTTTTGATGACATTAGTTTACAACGCGTTCCAGTCAGCCCAGTTACTCAGCGTACGTTGTACATGTGATCAATACGCCGTAAGTGTACTCATTTCTGCGCATGCTTTGCTTAACCCAGGGAACCGCGTTCTTAATGGACGAAGATAGGTGCAAGTCCTACAGCATCTACCAACAGCACAAAAATGAAAATGCATCATTTCGAGATTTCTGCCGAGATGCCGCAAGCTGTTTGGGAGGAAACGCTAATGACGACGGCAGTATCGATGAGCCAAGGCGGCCGCTTTCTGAGGTTGATACAAATGTCTTGAGCGCGAATGAGCTGGGAAGCATTCTTTTGAAGCCGCATTCGTTTGCGTACCGGGTACGTGATCATTTTGACGATGACCCCGAATGGCGGAAGCTTCGAAACTCCAGCCGAGAGCTTCACAATGAGGTATGATCAGTTCATTCATTGTGTGGTTGTGGAGCTAGAAAATTGACACTAACATTTCTTCAGAGGTTGCTGCTTTCCGGAAAACAACTTCGATGTGTGCTGTGTTGTGAACGAGATCATGGTGAAGAAAACACTACCCACCATCGGCTAGGATACAAGACTAGATACGAATGCTCCTTATGCAAGGTTGCTCTTTGTCACACGTCACGCTGGAAGAAGGATGAATCTTGCTTTGACAAATTTCATTCATCGGCCACGCTGCCCGATGCATGTCAGCAAGCAGCAACAAAGCCCAGGCAAATTCGTGCTCCACCCCCATTGCGTAAAAGATCACAAGCATCAGTTGAACAGTTTGAGCGACGAGTCACCCGATACAATTCAAAGGCACTGCGGCGATCGGCAAGATTGTCTACTGAGTCCGCCGCATAAGCAATAATGGTGGAATATTTTATCCTAGGAGCTAGGATAAAACTCTAATTTTAGCAAAGAGCAATCGCCACACTTCAGTTTGTCTTTGCAACATCAATGCGTATGCGTTTGGGCTGAGGTCCTCAAACCTTGCTAAACGAAGTCTTGACGTCATGGTGAGCCTAAAGATTTTTCAATTGTTGCTCTGGTTGCTCCAAGAGAGGCCATCAGAAATTGATCCTTCCATTTATCCTACCAAAATAGCTCACTGGGGTTAACGTGTTGTAAGTTGCTGGGCATTTCGACAACGTAGCCACCATGGGCGTGACGGGAATATCCAATGACTTGTCAATCTACTGTACTTCTACTACTACTACTAGTATATGTAGTGCGATAGTGAATGCGAAGCCAGGATAAGTACACGATATCGATGCAATGGCATTATACAATATCCAATAATGTCGAGTAAAATGTAATTTGAGCAAAGTAATGCTAGCAATCGCAACAAATGAATATATCTGCTTGGCGACTCGATAGTCGCCATTCGATTGCTATGCTAATGTCATTCACTACGCATAATGCGTGCTTGATGCAAATTGTCGCTTTGCACTGACGTTTCATCTCCGCTGGAAATCCGGTGTGATAAGGGACTTGTCAAACACGAGAGCCACTAACTCCAGAGTTCCCAGTAACTGCAGCATCGGCGTCAAGAAGTCGGACTGACTTGCTACACTTACCACGCAGCAGCGGCCACGATCCCATCTAAATCGTGTTGATCCACTCAAAACAAAGCGCTTGTTCAGCAACTTCCTCGCGATCGGGGAACTTAATATACCTGATTCCTGGTTACAGAGGTGAGGAAACGCGATTTTCAACGTTTTCTCCGTGATCGTTACACGAGTGATCGTCGCGGCTACAAGCGAATTTCCACTACTCCTCTGCAAACCTTCAAGCTCCACGTCAGCTACATCAAACCACTGCAGCATACTCCAATTGCTCAGAATCGCCTTTGATCCGAGCTTTGCATTATAGATCACATCGGTAGCCATTGTAGTTTGCATGAAATGCGCCTGGAGGCTGATTTGTGGTGCTGCAGCAGTGGAGAATTGTCGCTCCACCTGACGTAGCGTAAGATTGTAGATTCGAAAATATTCGATTGCCATGTCCCAAACGCCACCGTTTTCCGACACATAGCTCCGCCGCTGCTCCATTTGGTTGATCTCGTCACGTAACCGCTGGTTGCTCACTTCAAGACTATCCATGAAGTCCTGTTGTTTCTTTCTGTACCGCCTCTGGTTGTCTCGGCGACGCTTTCGCACGCTGTCCCTGCCAAGCTTTAGCAGCTCCAGTATCTTGACTTGTTGCTCAGTGGTGCCAATTGCTCTTATCTTCATTTGATGTCCACTACCGTCTGATTCTCCAGTCTCGAAATCAAGAATTTCCGATTGCTCGAGTTTCTTTCTTTGCTCATTGAGGAGTGAACGAGGTACATCGGCGCCCGGGACACTGGAATATGTATCTCGGACAGGAATCGAATGCTTTTTTGGCGTGGAGATCATCGCATATTGGTTGAATCGTTTGCGTGGATCAAACAGTTGATCGGGTTTCCAGCTGGCAGCAATATCAGTGGAGGAAGTCATCCTAATGACCGATTTAGTGCGCTGCTGAACTTCACTGATCATACCGTCACTGAGAAGGTGGCTGTTTGGCGGGCAAAGAACGGAGTCGTTCATCCTACCAGACGATGTGTAGAGTACGCGTGCTTGGAACTTCTTGGAGATTGGGCCAATTCAGAAATGAAGTAACTACCCGCGTCAATCCAAGTGGCCATCGTATGATTACACGCCTTCTGCTGATTACGCTACGGTTATCTACCTGACGGTACTGTTCTCACTCATACAACTAGTTACATGTAGAGTGCTCTGTACTTCGTTGTTGCGTACTGCCGCAGTGTCACGGAATCATGGTGAGGACTTGTACTTCACGATGGAAATTGTAGAGTGAATTGAAAATTAAAACTAACTGCAGGCCTACGAACTGGACACGCTCTTGTGTCCAACGCATTGCCCGTAAACAACGGTCAGGTCAGCGTCCAGTAATCCTTAATAAAAGAGAGGGACTTTATCAGGTCTAGAATCGTAAACGGAGGTAACTCCGTTACACGCAGAGGCAAGCGTAGGTTCGTCTTGTCCGGTGGCGAGTCGATCGCGCAAAGCGCATCAAAAAGCGGCATGGCTTACATGGCAACAGTAGATCGCTCGACAATAGCACCTCGACTGTAGTTCAGACGGTTTTTTTTTATTTAAATGGTGTAAATATTCATCTTCAAAGTGGTAGTAGTATCGCCATCGCACCAATATTTACGAATTATGTGTGTCCCACCTTGCCACCCCACTATTATAAATGTTGTGCTTTACAATCTACATGCCAGCAGGTAAAAGACATAATCAGTATAAACGTGTAATCATGAATTCACTTCAACCGAAGTTGTACATATTTATAAATGTTACCATACATTGTGAATCACTAAAGTACCCCTACAATTTTGGTTTAACTGCAATTTGAGACGAGGTTTAGTCTTACTTTATGGTTTGATATTTGGTGTTACTGTCTGCCTCGCTGGCTGCAACAAAGCTTCACTCTTACCCCTGCTGGCCAAAGAATTCATAAAACACGTAATCATTAAGACACGCACAGTCAAACGTGAAAAACACAAGCCCAGCATTAATCCACCGACGAGCAGGTAGATTTTTTTTTAAGAGCTACAGTGTGGTTTACAACCCAGAAAATGTTGAAGTGGGCTTATTTTCCACGTTTGATTGTGCGTGTCTTAGTGATTACGTACTTTATGAATTCTTTGGTCAGCAGGGGTAAGAGTGAATCGTTGTTGCAACCACGTTGTGTGTGTGGGGGCCAGACTAGATGTAAAGGCTAAATCTAGTGTCGACTTGCAAATTCCAGGAGATCACTAATAACTGTTAGCACAGCTTACTTGCTGCTGCAGAACTGTAGGGCATCATAAACTTCATGTCGTTTGGAACTGTCAGCTAAGGTAGGCAGCTGGCAAAACAATAATATCAATTCCTTTATTTTCGGCTAATACATAATTGATATTTTGGAATTAAAAGGCAGTGCTATTAATATTGGCCATAATTGATGGCCAATAAAATGATTTAAAGCAGTTAAAATTAAAAAGAACTCCAAAAACAATTGCTACTGGATATTAGAGTCGGCAAATGTTAAAACATACTAAGTAATACAAGTCAAATATTGTCAGCAAATATTACTGGTGTTAAAATAACGCATATGTTCCATTGGGATTGGCAGCCTTAGCCCATCGTCCACCTTAGACGACCTTCTTTTAGCATGGGCACACGGCAATTCTCCTACATCCATCTCTAATACGTACAACCAACTTGGAAAAACAAACGTATTGAATAAAATACACTTTCATTTTATTTTTGAATTACGAAGAATCGAAATAATTTATAACCAGGTCATTTAAAATGATTTTTTTTTAATGCAGAACCCAATGAAACTCACGTCACTTCCGGATGATGCATCATGTATATTTTTAAATACTTGATATTTTATTCTAGTAGTGACGTGAGTTCTTTGAGTTTTGCTATAAAAATAGCCACTTCCTACATTCTCACTACCAGTAGAGCAGCATGAATATGTAGTATTATACTAGGAAATGACATGTGAGCTACATACAAGTATTCTCTATTCCAATCGTGACTACTCCTACATACTACGTACTTGTACGGAGTTGAAATACGCAGTGAAAACAAAAGTGGATGGATGTGATAACGTCGATCTATTTCGAGGTATATCATTATAGTAATTCTCGGTTTTCAAGTGTAGTCTAACAACTACATAGCCTAGTTAATACTTCTCTAGCTCACGTTGAGCTGGGCAGTAAGCTCCAAATGGCCACCGTGACGCGAAATGGGAATCCACAAAACCAGGGAACCGCCACCTGTGCCAGGGAGACCGAGGAAACCAGGTCGCCAGCGATCTAGGTACAGCGTCTTGCCACCAAGCGCTGTGATGTTCGACTTCCACTGGGCAGTGCCCCCAGCCTTGAGGTTGACTTCATCGATCTTATCGCCAGCGGACATAATGTTAACGATTACATCTTTGGTATCCTTGCTCTTGAAGTTGATAATGACGGCACCGTCACCCTTCTTCTTCCAAGAAAGAGTGCTGTTCTTGAACGCCTTATGAAGCGCACTCATTCCCAGAGTGTCAAGTGAGTTGCCGTCATCAATTTCACCCATGAACTGCGTGGGGCCGCAGATCGTCTGGAGGAATTCTGAAAAGATGGTCGACAGATCCGTCGGGTCCCAACCAAATGAAGCAAGGAAGAGAGACATACGGAGCCATGTGTAGGCGTTGTGCTTCGCAGCCATGGATGTACCATTGTCACTCTTGCCAGACTTGATGAGGTCGTTGATCATAACTCCGTAGGTCTTGCGCAGCGTCTCGCGCGTCTTGTACGCAGTGGCCACCGTCGACTCGGAGATCATTTTGGGCATACAGTTGTTGGTCACCTTGGGGATTTCGTACAGAATGAGGTCTGACTCGCTCATCTTGAGGCGAAGCTCAGCTCTGCTGATCTTGGGGTTCTTCAGTCTGTACTCCTGTACTGTGGTCCAAACCTGGGTGGTCAATGTCTTGAGATCGTCACCACACGTCGAGTTCTGCTTCATCGCCGTTTCCAGACTTGAGATCTCTCCCTCCGTAATTTGATCGGCTGCTTCTGTGAAGTTGGCTCTCTTCATGAAAGCTTTAAACTTCTCCCAACTCTCAATAATTTCGTCGTCGTAGCTGACTACAAGCAGAAGGACTAACTGGGCGGTGGGCATGAGCTGACGTGTTAGCTGAAGGCTTGGAGGAGTACTTCTGCCTGAGCACGCATAGATAGTACCTGGAAGATCGGCGACGACCCAGTTCGTCTGATACAGCAACAGCAACAGTTTTTCCTGCGATGTCTGCGGTTCATTAACCATTTGATTACGCGTGAAACGGATGACAGCTCTCACGAAGGCCATGAGGTAATTGGCACATACGACAGCCCAGCTCACGTGTTTTCCATACTTGGCCAATTGACCGAACACACCGAAGGAAGCCATACTCAAGGCGCCCATTGCTACAGCAGAAATCTTAGCGGCATTTTCTCGACCGCAGTCATTGTTCTGTTGAATGCACTGCATGCCACACTCCACGGGATAATCCATCGGACACTCCGTCCAGCACGTGCTTGTCAGTTCATTGCGGTCGTAGTTTCTTGGGCAGGTTTTCATGAAATGGGATTCACGATAGCAAGCTGAGTCGGCCGACTGTCTCCAAGGTCCCACCCAGTTACGGTAGGTCGATTTAACGTCGCTAACGGCAGTCGAAGGAGTCGCAATCTCGTCCATGGATGGCATAGCCGCTTCCGAGGATCCCGTTAGGGATAGAGCACTAGATGAAGAGTCATCGTCCGTATCAAGTGAGGAGGCAGCGGACGAAGCTGTGGAAGCAGGCGGCTCAGAAGCTGGACCTAGATCAGGCAGCGAGCCCGAGTCGGACTCCGAGTTTGATCCCTTTCCAGAGTAAACCAAAGCCCTCACATTGTCCATGTAATCGGAGCCCATCATGTTGTTGAGTGTTTCAGGAGACAGGGTCTCAGTGTATTTAGGGTCGGACGACGCGGGTGAAGGGGTCGAATCGTCATCATTATCCCAAAAGGTCCAGTCGATGGCTCGTGTACTGGTGGTGCTGATAAGGAGAGCCAAAACAGTGAGTACCACTCTTGATCGGATCATCTAGATGTGGTCGCAACAGGAAGTTTGCCGCACTGCAATTGAGGAAGTTTCTCTACTCAAGCGCGATGTGGGTCCGAGGCGGCAAAAGACAAAATGAAACAAATCGCTGTTTAAAGCCCCGGACTTCAGCGGTGGAGTAACCATGTCGGCTGACCACAATCGACTGGTGGTAGCACGATTTGTTTGGCGATACATACTTGTATTAGATACTGTATACTATTCCGGTATGTTGCTGCACAGCAATCAAGCCGGTTAATCCGGGTAATGCAAGTTGCATTGCAACGCCAAGCGCAAGATTAAAAATCGCAACCACATGGAGCAAGACCGGACAGGAGATATCTCAACAACTGAGTCTTTCTTGGTTTTCGTATAAGGGGCTACCGTTGTGGCAGTGAACATTTATGTAGCTGGCACCCCAAATGATGGGACAAACACAATCCTAGGATGCAAAACAGAGTCTGGCCCAAACTGGGGAGTATACTATACTACACACGGCGAGAGGAGCTGGCCGAACTCAGCGCGGAGCGTGGTAGGGTAAAGCAAAGCTAGAGGGGCGATTTAATTCAACGGGGAGAGTGGTAGTGTTCACGCCTCGTCAATCTGGAATCTGGTTTCTTTGCCACGGTAACGGATGTTTCCGATTTCGTATATCGGGATGTGTGTACTATACGTGTACACAAGGAATGAGTCGGGAGCAGTAGCGAAGCTACGGTGCACATCCAGGTTGACATGCCAATCGGCAAAACCAGATGTTGAAACCTAAACGTAGTTACAAGTCAAGCTGTGACCCAAGGCGACACTTCCTTTTGATATTCTTCATTTCGCAATACGACGACGGTACATATTTTGTACTACCATATGTACACATACCGTTGGAACGGCGACGACCAGCCATTTTCAACACAATGGGTCATTTTGTTGGCAAACTGCTTTACCGGTACTGATCCAAATTCAGAACGGTGGAAGATGGCTCTATTGCTATAGCACTGTAATAACGTTATTTTTTTATTGAATTTCATCAGGGTCGCACGGAAGTACTTCAGAAAATCGGTTTTATCTGCAAATCTACGAGCGTTTGGTAGTGGGTGGTTGCGGAATGGGACCTATCAGAGTTCGAGTTTGCGTGACGTGGCAATATTATACCGTGTAACTTATACCGTATTACACGGTATAATTTTTACAACTGACATTCCGCCATGTCCCTCGCGTGTGGCGCGGGTTTCCAGGTGCATAATGTATGCAGGGAGCTATTTTTCTCCCAGATCCCATCACGCTGTACTGGGAAGAATGAGACTGAGCTTCAGCAGGGTCGCCCAAATCTTGTGTTGCTGAAAATGTCGTTTGTTGTCTTGACAACGTTGAAAATGCTTTCTTGTATTGTCTAATGCGATTCACCTCATTTAAACATCGGACATTCAATATTTAATTGGTTTTGAAAGTTTAGCATGCATTCGGCAGGATGACGAGGCGACGTGTCATTTCGGCCTACGAGGACATGTGTTTGCCCTTCTCTAAAACTATTAGGAGTAGCAACAACAAATAGAATGAAGTGGTATTTCTTATTTAAAAAATGCTTGGAGTTCATATTTACACGAATTCGTCGTTTCACTTCATTTTTTTTTAACACATACTAGTATTTCAAAAGCTCAGTCAGGTCCTAAGGAGCTCGTGACGAGTCATCTTTCTTTTTTTTTTTTTAAGAGAGAAGCAGTTTCTTGAATGCTTGGGACGCTCTGGTCTGTTTGTTTGATATCTAAGGAACACCTCTGAGATTATGACGAAAAGGAAACGATTGCAAGCTCTAACTGATTGCTATGTTAACCCTTTCGTGGTCAATGGGGGGCATTTTGCCCCCTTTGGGGGATGTATCCTCGAGTACCACTCGTGTCACCCATGAAAGGCGGCATAATGATCTCTTTCATTTTACATAAAAATCTCCCTTAGCTAATACAGGCCGTAGAACAACTTTTGATCAAGTATAACAAGTTGATCATGTTAAGGTAGTTTGGTGTGGTGCACATTCCTGAAATTTAGTGGGATTCAAACGAAATATTTCAAATCAAGAAATCTATGAAATATCTGACGACACATCAGACATTCCAAGGTCTCTGTTGTGACCCTTCCGAAGCTGATTTCCAATGAATCGGCTTAGACTGGACGAACATGTGATTAAAACACATTTAATTTCCACCGAATTCGTAGACTTGTGCTTTTGTATAGCCTCTTAATTTACTGTTTAACTTGAAAATTGATGCAAGAAAAAACAGTGAGATACTGTCAAAATCAATGATTTAAGACAAGAAGATACAATCCGTTTTGTGCAGCATATTCACTTACCCTTTGAAAGTCACATAAAAGTCTAATACTTGTGCCCAAGATGCAAGTGTTGACACATTTATACAGCGCATATGTTGTAGGATGAATCGTTTCACAAAACATTTCTAATCGTTGAGATATTTTCACGTAATATTTAATACCCGATAGAACAATTTCCAAACGGAGATACTATCGTAATTGAATTAAATTTGCTCAAGAGTAGTTAACACGACAGCTCATGAGGATGGCGGCTTGCCATTTATACACACACTGATGCTGCAGAAAACAGTAATATCTAAAAGCTGGAGAAGGTCCTGCGTTGACTGTAAATAGGACATGCAATGCTCCTATTCACTACTTCAAGTACTTCAGCTGAATAGAAAAATGGGAAGTACATCCGTCCATTAAGCAGTATCAAACGTTGCTTAATATGTGTTCTAGCGCTAGCTTAAAACCAATGCAGTCATGACAGGGCCAACGTCGTGGTCATAAAATCAGGTTGTAGTTGTAAATGCAGCCCAGTGTAACACCCACTGGCAAGTATTCAACTAGACTGCGACGCACGGTAACGTAGGGGCGGGGGTATACCAAATTCGTCGGTACGACCACATGACGGTCAGGTACAACCCCGTCGACAGACCTGGGTGCCATATATCCCGTGAGCCGTGATCTGCAACAATGCCCTTGCTTTTATGGCAATCGCGGATTCATCCATTGTGTATGTCCACAACGTCATGATTCGCCATTAGAGGTCTTTAGCAGTCTTACTGTGTGTTCTGTTTTCGATCGAATGTTCGGGCTACCCCATAATTACGAAAGTCGTGTTTAGCTACTCTATTTTAGTTCGGTTTGTGCCAGATGCTGAAGATAGTAAAGATAACATCTCCCTTCAGCAAGAAACTAGATCGTCTGCGACTTACACTGGAAATAC